GTTAATGTGAAATCATATATTTTTCTGGAAATGGAAACAAGTTAATTCGCCCCATGCTGGCAGCAATTTGAAGTTTTTCATTTTATACAAGGCACTAAATAACCGAGGTAAATAGTTCTTAATATCATCTGTGACTAATCTGCATTTCTTTTTCTATAAGCTCATGAGCTAAATAGTAGAAGTAGTTAACCCTGAAACGTCTGAGCAACTGTTTGTCATTGGCGACTTCTGTTGTTTTGCTAGAATAGATCATTTTGTTCTTTATGATGAGTTTGTTAGTAATTCAGACTTTGTTTTGAATTAGTTCACCACACCCAGAAAATCCCCCATGTTGCTTAAATCAGAGGTTTGTCTATTCCCTGCACTTCATTCCTCAAGAATGTTTTGTATGTTTTTGTTATTTTGTGTGAGTTTTCACTCGCTGTCTTTAAAATATCTTAGTTTTTTGCCCCTACGAGCATTAATGTGATGGTTTCCCCTCCAGGTGTCTGACCGTCAGAGCTACCTGGTGCTCTCTCTGGCTCTCTGCCTGTTGCTGGGGGTCCTGCTCTGTCTGCAGTGCTGCCGCAGCTCGTCCCACAGCCCTAAAGCCAGCCACGCCCCCCTTCCCAAGAGCAACCACTACCCCAGCCCCAAGAGGTTTGCCTCGCCCTCTTTGTTTCACACCATCCCAGTGAATGTAACACTTTGTCTCTGCGCCTCAGTCCAAGCTGCTCGGATTACTCAACTCTTTTCAGATATGAAGTTGTGTAACCGGCACCTGATTCCTGGAACATGTCGCTCTCTCACCATTCTTGGGTTTTTTAAATGCCGGTGTGTGTGATGACACGTTTATAAGCCTTTATGAATGTCATACGCGTTTCCTCCCCATCAGGTGTTTCTCCTCCTATGACGACATGAGCCTAAAACGTAGGGTGACCTCCCAGCTGGTTCGCTCCAAGTCATTTCAGCTTCCCTCCACAGAAGGTGAGACCCCCTCATCACACTAGACTCATCTCCCTCCCTTTGCTTACCTTTTTATATCATCCACTGTTCCTGTTTTAGCCTCTGTCACTGAAACCTGTGATTATACTTAATACCTCAGTCAGCACATTGTAAAGACTTGTCAGGACTATTTCAGGCTAGCATCTTTTAAAGACGGCACTACAATGCCAAGGCTTTTCCAAAACCACTTCATCTCTGGTTTTCTAAAACTTTCTAACCAGAAGCGAAGGGGCAGCATGCAGCCACATTGAGAGGCTGGAAGAAACCAGAAAAGATAATATTCTAAAATCTGCAACATCCTGAGAAAATGCTCATAACCCTTTGGTGTTTGTTGATGTTATTAAAAAATCTTCAGTGTTGGGATTTTGTGTAACATAACAGCAGAAGGAAGGGAAGCCATCAAAAGACTTGTTTGCTGAGTCCTCCTGAAAACATCTGCTCTGCCTAGATGGCAAAACTGCACTTTTTGGACCACATGAACAATCCTGGTTAGTCATAGAAGTAAAGCAATTGATCACTGCTAAAACATGAGCATCATGCTGAGGGAAAGCTTTAAGTTTTAGGCGACATTAGACCCGGTTTCTGGCCACGTCACAGTTAAAGGAAAAGTCCGGTCAGAAGGAAAAATCAATGGATCATTATTTATACCTAAAACTGCTTTGTTGCGGTGATCTAATGAAATTATTGTTAAACAGTAAAAAATAAACAAAATTTTTCGTCCCAATCACTGAGTCTGGAAGCGGCCATTTTTGCCCAAATATAGTAACCCCTCCCTCCTGCCATCTTCCAGCAGTGACGTCACGGTGCGGTAAGCCTAGCGCCATTCTCCCCGCTTTCCAAGCTAAATCAATGGGAACTACTAGACACATCTGCAATCAACAACAATTATTGAAGATTTCCAGAGGACTTCACCATTGAAATTCACTAGAGCTATAGTGAAACTGACAATGCCCACGTGCATGGCAGCTGGATGCTGGAATACATCGGGTAAAAGTGAAAAAAAAAAAGAGTTATTCCACCTTTCTGATTCCTGATCCTCCACGGACGGGTTGGTCGTTGGATCGCCAACTTGAAGAGGGAGGATTTGCCATCGAACTTCTGGCCAGAGAAAAAACCCGTAATATGTAGCCAACATTTGGAAGAAGAATGTTTTCAAGATGACTTGGATAATAGCGCGTTGTGACAAACACCAGATACAGCACTGGGACTTGATCAACAGCCGATACCGCACCGTGACGTCACAAACCAGTAGGTGGCAGTAGTGTTCTTTGACAAACATGGATGCCTCCAGTAAAGCACATTCACATGAAAATTACTCTGAATTAAAAACACTGATCATTTATTGAACAGGATGGAATCATTTCAGATTTAAAGAACTTTCAGAAGTTTGAATTCTGAATATGAGCGAACTTCTCCTTTAACGTCAGAGTGACAGCTGGAGGCAAAACAGACGGACCAATACAAACGAGCTCAGGAAGCTTAAATTAGCTTGTTGTTTTATATTTGTTGCCAGAATTGACAGTTCAGACGATAAAAGGTTTAATCCAATACCTGCTGCCTCTGACAGACAAATTAGACTACAGCAGCTGTGGTTAAAAGCAATAAAATGATGGTAGTGAACAGAAATGATCATAAAACATGGTCTGTATGCAGCAGGTAAATTAAGGTAAATAGAATGTTGTATTTCGTTGGTATGCATTATGGTTTGCTTAAATAACGTTGCTTTATTTGCAATGACCCAAGCCAAGTACATGGATGCTTTCTGGCATCTGTTATGATCATTCTGCCTCCAGCTAAACTCTACGGAAGAGGATTAGGGCCACTGAAAAAAAAAAAAAAAGTTAACTGATTTTTTTAATTTTATTTCAGTTTAGTATAGGGAAAAAGGTCAGAATTCTGACTTTTTTCTCAGAATTCTGACTTTTTTTTCAGAATTCTGACTTTAATCTGTGAATTCTGAGATAAAAAACAAACAAACAAACAAAAAAAAAAACAATAAAAAAGTCAGAATTCTGAGAAAAAAAGTCAGAATTCTGACTTTTTTTTTCCAGAATTCTGACTTTAATCTGTGAATTCTGACTTTAATCTGTGAATTCTGAGATTAAAAATAAAAAATAAAAAAAACAATAAAAAAGTCAGAATTCTGAGAAAAGTCAGAATTCTGAGAAAAAAAGTCAGAATTCTGAGTTTTTTCCCCATACTAAACTGAAATAAAATCTTCCGTAAAACTCCGCCCACAGAAATGGGTAAAAAAAAAAATGTCCAGCTGAAAAGGGGTCTATAGCTCAGCTGATAAAATAAAAGACAGAACAGTCATGGTAAAAAAAAAAATATATATATATATTATTGGGAGTTGTAAAAGATTTGAGACTCGGGTGGAGCAGGAAAAAAAAAAACCTTCATTAATAGCTTTAAAAAAGCTCTAGATAAGTGCGTACATTTGCTTTAGCAGAGTCCAATCAGGTCAGACCTGAATTTGACTCTTAATATAAATTCATGTCAGATTTTATTTCATGTCATTTTCCTTCCACTTCACATCGATGCGTTAATCTTTGTTCTCTCACATAAAATCCCCCAAATAATGTGTTAAAACATTTGTTTTAAAAGATGACAAAGTGTAATTTGGAGAACAGTGATTGATATTAATAGCTTTGCAAGGTGCTGTACATCCCCACCCCCCCCGACCACCGATCTGTGTGTGCGTGTTAAAGATTCGCCTGTCATCGCCAGCTTGTTCCCACATTCAGGCTTCAGGAGTGTAATAATAGAGCGCAGTGCTTCCTGGCTCATGTTAGACGTTTGCAAGTAGTGAGGAGTGTTTAACCAACAGGAGTTTTATTGCAGAAATCTGGGATTAGAAATGAATGTTTTTTTTTATTAATATGCATATATTTATAAATGTTATAAATAGAAACTACTTGCAAGGTCATTTCATGCTTGTTACATGTATGTATTCCTGTTTGCCATTCCATCATTAACCTGGCCCCTTTCTCCCCTCCCCAGTAGGTCCAGATGACTTGTTCATTGTAGAACCTCTAAGGTTTTCTCCAGAGAAAAAGGTACAGTGTCTGCCGGCTGTGAAGGCCGCCTTACATAACTGCTGTGTGTTCTCTAGTGTCAGTGGGTGTGTGATCACTTCCTGGTCAGATTGAGTCGCCAAGTCGAGGGAAGGCGGATGTCTTGAGTTTCAGCCCATAAACACGTAGTCCTTCCCAACACCGTCATTACTACTACACACCTACATCATCTCACACATTTCTGTAGGCAGTTGGATAAAGATATTTAACCAGCAGAATGACCTGGAAATGCTGCAAGATCAGATTTTTGTTTTAAAAGTAGCCTTTTCCTTATTGTTTTCCATTTTTTTTCCTATCAAACCTTTCCGTCATTCTCTGACCAGTTTGTGTCTAGCTCTAAAGTTAACATTTAGTTGTGATATTGATCCATCATGCACAGAGTGATGCATTTTAAGCTTTTATTTCTGTTTATTTCCTAACTAGCTTTATTGGCTCAGTTTGTTTACAGGTACAAGGAACTGGACTATAGTTCAACTTTGATCTCAGCGGTATTGAAGGGCGAGCCAAAGTCCACCAACGGAAATGAGAGCCCCTGTTCAATCACTGCATCATTTCTGCGTCATCAGTTAACCATTTTTATGACCGCTGAGCTAGTTGATCGGATAATAAAAAAAGAATTGGAGGTCAACAGAAAAGTCTGTCTATGCACGATAAATGCACCTGCTTCTTCAGCATACAGACTGCATCCAGATGTGCCTGTTGCCCTGCTGATGGGTTGCTTTTAAAGTAGCAGACATGAAGGTCTTTGGACCTGCTTCTGTTACGTTTGGCAGTGAGGGCAGGTCCTGCAGGAGAAAGAACCAGCATCCCCATAAAGCTCTTCTGCAGAAGGAAGCGTACAGCTCTGCAAAGTTTCCCGGTAGATTATTGCTGTTTCCTGTTAGCTTAATGCTACGTTCACACCGGACGCAGCAGGCGCGGCAGAAGCAGCGAGTTTACATGCAAAGTCAATGGTTGACGCGCGTCAAGGCGCAGCAAAAGGTCCCGCAGCGCGTTTTGAGCAGCAGGCGCAGCGCGTCTGAGCAGCTGAAGCAGAGCGTCGGGCGCGTTTAAGCATCTGATGCGCCGCAAACGTGCTGCTGCTCGAGATGGAAAAATTGAACTTTTGCTGCTCGACACGCCGCATCAACCAATCAGAGAAGCTGATCTGGGAGCTGGCCGTGAGACAGACACATCGCTGATGACACAGAGCGCTGTGATCACTCCTCTGAAACAGTTTATTAACGCCTAAATTAACTTAAAATGCAGAAATCTGCCGGCAGAATATGTTGGCTTTTATTATCCTGCTGCCTGCAGTTTAGATTATTTAGATGAAAAACACCTACCAGCCGCCGCGGTGAACCGCGAGGAGGTGACCCAACCAGAGGCTGCTGATGAATGGATTCCTACTGTCGGCGCACCGCTGGTATGTGGGGGTCTGAACGGCTCCCACAGAAATAGTATTAGAAGGCAGGATGATAATCTGAATGAACTGAATGCACTGATTACGTTTTCAGGTGTATTTTCTCACTTAAAAACATATTAAAACTACTTTATTCCCACTGATCACAGCAAATATAGCTGCAAGGCAGAGAAAGGATAGTGTAGCTCCGCCCAACGCGCGTCAGAGCCACTTTTGCACCGCGCAGCCAGAGCAGCAAAGCTGCTTCAGCCGCGCGTCAGAACTCACTGGAACAAGCAGCAAAAATGAAGCAGCAGACGCGATTTTGCTGCTTTTGCTGCGTCCGGTGTGAACGTAGCATAAGAAAACCATGTAAACAAGACAAAAAGATTACTGACTGGAAACTTTGTGTACGGCTTTAGATAAGTTGCTTTTCAATCTTCCTTTAGGCTGCGCTTTTCTAACCTCTCAAAACTCATCCGGTCACCGGCAACCGTTTATATAGCGTTTACAACTAATAACTCAGAAAGCATGAAAATTAAATTGGTAAAATTTTTACCAATTTAGACATGTTAGACATCGCTGGAAAGCTTAGATTCTCCACAAATTAACCACCAAGTTCATTTTATGGACAAAGTGAGCACTAGAGTACAACACAGATAAAGCAGCATGTGAAAACGTAAACAGCGGCCTCAACAACATACCTTTGAAGGCATCAAGATTTTATGGGTCAAAAAGTTTAGTAACTTAGTTATTTGCTTTTCCATTTGTGAATGCAAAATAGATGAGGATTACTTCAAATTAGGTGGGTTTTAAAAGGCCAAACAAAAATGTAAAAAAAATTAATTTAAAGTATTTTGCACCATCGATCCAGAGTCTGGTCCTTTTTTCTCCTTAGGCCCAATAAGAAGCTTCTGGCAGGACTGACTCGGTGTGGTAGTTTATATCATCTCTCTCTGGCTCCAGCTTCAGCCCCTGACCTGTAAATTTCCCCTAAACTCTTTAATTGGCTTTTCTTCTGAACGCTAAGCTATAATTATCCAAACTGAGAAGCATAAAAACTTGAAATCAATCACTTTGTGTATAATGAGTCAATATAAAGTTGGATTTCTGAAACCAGTCCACTGTTGATCATATTTTCATTTCTTGAACATGCATCAGTGAATTTACCTTTAATTCCTGTCATTTTTAAAGTCTCTGTTTTTGTTTATTCCTCAGAAAAAACGTGGCAAAACAAAATCTCTGGACAAAGTTGAGATCCTGAAGCCGCTTGTTGCCGCCCCGCCTCTCACCAACGGGGATCTGAAATGCAACGGTTTCCACCCGGGCCTCCCTGTGATGCCTCCCCCACCCCCTCCTCCTCCTCCTCCTCCCCCTCCTCCCCCTCTCCCTCCCCTTCCATCCACAGACCAGGTGGCATCTCTGCCCGGTTCCTCTTCGTTCCTCCCCTCTGAAAGCAGCAGCTGCAGCTCCTCCACTCACTCTGAGGAATCGTACACTAGCCGCCTTTCTCCTCCTTCTCCCGTCTGCTCCTCCGCCGGCATGTGCAACGGCCACGGCCTCTCCTTCCCCCTCACCCAACTTCCCGCAAAGTCCCGTCAGGAGAAGCGCTCCATGAAGCGACGAAAGTCTCGACAGACGGAGCTGCAGTTCCCTTCTGTGCCAGGGGGAGGCATCGACGCGTTGCCCAGCCTGCATCAGCTCATGAAGGGAAACAAGGAAATGAGTGTGGGGACCATCAGGGTGACTGCCGTCACTGGACATGTCTGACACGTCACATTTACACACCACGCCGTTCGCTCTGAGAATGACTGTATCCCAAAGAGCCACGTTTCCCACGATTGAAGCGAGTTTAGCAGCGTTAGCTCAGTCAGACCGTATCCTTTCCCGTCAAAGACCCGTTTACGGTTACGTGCCTTTATGTGTTTAAAAACCTTTTTAATAGTTGAAAATGTCAAAGTTTAGAGAGCTGCTGGTGGGGAGTCTGACGTCGGCACACATTCAGTACAACAAGACTTTGTTTTTCTGAAAAAAGCACATCTTCTCCGAACAGCGGAGCGATTCTAACAGAGTTCCTGACCTCAACTCTGCGCTCCTTCCATAAGTATTAGGCTGCTGGTGTGGGATAGAAAGTCGCTGGGAAGAAACCGTGGAGCACACGACTTGATCTCATCCTGTTTCCCATCTTCGTTTATTCTCACCTCTCTTGTTTGACTGCAGGTGTTTGAACGGGACCATTGTTTGAAAGCTTACTGTGAACCTGTCTGATGCTCTTGCTGCGTCTTTTACTGTTCGACCCCCCCCTTCCCCACATGCACACACACACAGGAGCCGAATGAAGATGATATCCTACATTTATCTATTCTAGCTTTCATCTGCCCTTGGATTATAGCTACAGAAGCAGCAGTCTGCACATCCTGCAAGCTTGTACCGAATCATTCCCCCGGTAGATGGGCTGGGCCCAGAACCATCACACAGCATGTAGAAAGCTCCCAGTGGATCCCATATATCTACTATGAGGCGGTCTGGGCTCTGCTGAAATGTTTTTAGCCAGTCTGAGCCATGCAGGGTTCACGTCCCTGACCTCAACGGAAGTGAGTTAAATGTTTACGCATGTTTCACTCGCACGACTACCTGGACCCTGCAGAGGAATCTAAACGGCCGGTTTTATTTATCTATCTATTTATTTATTTAAAAGTCTATAGATGTTTTCCAATTTAGGCACTGGGTGCCAGTTTCCTAGCTCTGCAGGGTCAAAGGGGTTTGTGTGAGTGTTTTTACTTAGAAAGAAATGGTAAATATTCCCTTTTCTTTGCTTTATTTGCTGCATTTTCGCTTGTAAAAAGCTTTCAGTCATCTTGTGTTTTGGTACTAGTTATCATAGATCCTGCTGAGTTGGTTTGGATTGACAGACTGCTGCTTCTGTTATCAGAGCTGCTGTTAGAGGAAATTCCTCAGCTAAAGCTGAATTACTGTCCGTTTATCAGCTGAGATGATTTGGCTCTGTTTAAATCCTGCTGCATGCAGGGTAGCCTGCAGAGATCAGGGTATTTGCTTTTAACAGGGGAAATGTCGGGGGCTTCTGATTGGCTCCATGTGGTCGGGGTGGTGTTGCTGCTTAAGCGGGATCGGCTCCACATGATTTCCTTTCAAAGTCACCTCTGGCCCTCGCTGCATGTTTCTATCGGTCACCGTGGAGAAAAACCCGCCTGCTTGCATTGATAGTTATGTGCTTGGTTACTAAGATGCTGTGGTTACACTCCGTTTGTCTTCTGTTCACTCGTGTGCCCCACCTTCACAGCCTGGGGTTTTTGTAAGGAGTAAAATGAACTGCTATTTAATTAAAGGGAATGCGAGAAAGATTAATCCGATTTTTAACACTATTAATGTGATTAAGGATGTTTTGCAAGCTGAGCAAATCATTTTCCCCACTTTTTTTTTTGTTTTTAACGTGTATGATGTGTGTTCACCTGTATGTTTGGGGGATTATGTTGTTTTATGGGTGTTTGTCATGAAAAAGACTACTTAGAACCTGCTTCAGTCCACAACACAGAAGAAGAGGAGGAAGCACTTGCAGAGATTTCTAGAGACGCACGTGCACTTTGTATGACTCCTCATGCCTTTTTTGTTGTTTGTTTTTTCCGTTTCACATAAAGTGCTTTTTTTTTTCCAGTCCCCTCCCTCTTTCCTTCTCTTTCTCTCTGTGAGTACTCCAAAAAGCTGCACAGTATTTTTGAGCAGGAGTGAGTTACTACAGCAAACTGTAGTGCCATTAGAAACTGTGAATTCTTTCTTAATAAAATCTTTTTTTTGTTGTTGTCTTTGAGTTAGTGGTTGTTTTTCTTTTGAAACTCTTTTCAACAAATGTTTTGAGTTGAATAACATTTTTAAAGTAATTCTGTCTAAATAAATAGTGAACGATACGATTCTGCTTCCTGGTCTGCACCCTGGGTTGTCCTTATTTTAGAGGACTCATAAATTCGGCCAGATTCCCAGAAAGAAGAGCTGCACCATCCAGAGTGGGATGGATGCCGTCTCTCTGAATCAGACCAGGTTTTCACCAAAAAGTTGCTAGTTATAAAAGTATCACACATTGTTTTCAGGATACTACCTAGACCAGTGTTTCCCAGCCTTTCTGACTTGTGTACGTTTGTTTTACCACCAGTTTCCCCTTCAGTCAAAACTATTAATAACTGCCTGAATTATAAAATAAATATTTTACTAAATCTTTTAATATAAGCTATCAATTCTAATACATTTTATTTCCATCACAAAAAAAACCAAATACAAAATAATACAACATAAAATATTATAAACCTATGTTTATAAAACTGGGTCTCCTCTGAGTAACTCCCCTATAATCACATTTAAACTTGATGAATTGGGAACAAAATACAGATCAAAAATTATAGATTTATTTCATTAGTTTTACTTTGGTTTTATCAAGATCCTGAGCTGCTATGATGATCTATCCAGTGAGAAAACCAGCTGATCCCAGGCTGTTCTCCGTACCCAGTCTGTTCCTCTGACTGGTTTGGATGGGTCACAGCTGAAGGTGAACTCGGACATAGAAGAAAAACTTAATTTTTGGTTGATAAAAGCTTGTTTAATTATATATAAATATATATATATAAATGTGATGCAGATTAACTGAAGCACAAATGGTCATATATGCATAAATAAAGATTTGGAAGGATTAATAAAGATTTATAAGAACTTTAGTTAGACAAATTTACCATCCAATACGATTTAAGAAAAACTCTTGAAAATGACAAAAATAAATAGAAATTAACAGATTCATTAAAAAAAAGACGTCCTCCATTGATCATAATACTCATTATCAAAGAGCAATCCTTCAAAATACTGAACAATATACTATATGTATATATATATATATATACTATATATAAATGTATATGTAAAACATAATCTTATAAAACTTTATCATTAATATTTATATGCAAAACATAACTGCAAACAGTTTGAGTTTTAGTTTAAATAATTTTTTATCTGAATAAATATGTGTAATCTAACTGAAGGGGTACTTTAAAGTTTGTTTTGCTCCTTTAAGAGGTTCTGACATGTAAGCGATTATTGTAATCTCTCGTCTTGAACTTCTATTCATTCTTACAGCAGCTGTCTGAACTCTGGTCTGATCCAAGATGGCCGTCGTCTAGGCATGTAGGCCTTGCTGCCTACAGCGTCCAATGAGGCGTCCATGTACACTACTCAAAAAAATTAAAGGAACACTTTGTAATCAGAGTAAAGCATCAAGTTCATTAAACTTGTGGGATATTGATTTGGTCAGGTAAGTAGCAGAGGGGGTTGTTAATCAGTTTTAGTTGCTTTGGTGTTAATGAAATGAACAACAGGTGAACTAGAGGGGCAAAACGAGACGACCATCAAACAGGAATGGTTTTACAGGTGGAGGCCACTGACATTTTTCCCCTCCTCATCTTTTCTGACTCTTTTTCACCAGTTTTACATTTGGCTAGGGTCTAGGGTGGCCATTTCTATAGCACCAAAAAGGAGGACATTGTGCGGCATATCAATAAATTAC